ATCCTTTTGAAAACCATGTTTGCTCACGCGGTTGTCCTTCGTCTAGTTGAATTATTTTTTTTTCTCAAAACACGTGGAATTAGAAATATTGGCCAAAAACTGATTGACACACGAGTTCCTCATTAATGGGTCGCACTCGGAACTTATCCAAAGTATTGGAAGAAAGTATATCTCCTTCGTTTCCAGACATCACAATATTGCTTGACTAGAGTTCCGTGAAGAAATGCAGTACGTTTAACGCAGTCGTTAGAGGTTCCCTGCCAATTACACATAGTCGATGTTTTGACACAGCGCCCTATGCAAAACAAACCTTTCATCCCTCTTGGGTCGACTTACTGATGCTAGGCTTATGTGTGAGGGTAAAAGTGCTAACCTGAAACATCGTCAGGCCAGTTTATGTCATTTTGTATAAACTAAATATGCATCTAGATCACCTCTACGACGTCCAATGGGATTCTAATCATTGCGCATTTCTGAGAGAATGATCAATGCCAAAAGCGCTCTCCTTTACCTTAATTCCGTGAAAAAAATTTCTATGGCACCACCGGTTCGTGCACTGTTTTTGAATTCTATCTAGACTATCACAGCACATTACAGCATATTACGGTTTATTGCGCTATTTAGTCATTTTTATCACTCACTAGTGACTGAGTTTTACTTTTCGAATATGACATCTGCTATTACAAAAATTATTCCCACATTTGTTTTCATACTTTTTCTGTTTTGCAGTCGAAGAAGTCGCGACGTAACACATATTTCGTGGATAATTTTAATTTTAAGAATTTCAAAAAATCACTTACGTCATCGTGGCACATTGTAACGATATCTAAGTTTCTATCTTCCTGCACTTTCCTTTCACGCTGTCCTATTAAGCTCCAAAAGCTTTGAAGAAAACGGTGAGTTGGTCAGAAAGTTTTGTGGTTTAGGTACCGAGCCATATGAGTGGCACGAAGAAGGTTGCACATATGAGTACTATTAGCGTTCTTATCATCCGAAATGCCATAGAAAAAACTGTTTTTGGACGACGTTATATTTTACTTAGGTGCCTAATTGCCCGCAAGACAGATCCTCACGTGTCGTGCTGGTTCACAACCCTTGCTATTTATACTTTTTATGGCAATCCAGAAAAGTAATTTGACGTATGGGTGTGACTGTAGCTGAGGATTCTTTGTCTTCTCTCTTCAAATTGTTGGCACAACATAGTTCTTCCTGGAATTACTTGTGTGTGACAAGCACATTCACGCCTAAGGCTGCTCATCAGATAATTGTCGCACACCAAGCCTGAAACGCGACCTCCACGGGAACAAGTTCCACATTTTTCTGTTGCGGAAACTCCATGGAAATGACACGAGAGCTCTAGGCGATATTCGGGAGCTGCTAAAGTGAAGGAAATTTGTGACGGTTTAATTATTGGTTAATTATTATTGGCTTATTATTAATTATGGTGGTTAAATTAAAGGCTGAGACTCAGCTTTTTACATCGTCCTGTCGCAGTCGGACGACTATCCGTAGAATTCACAGAAGTCGCTTCCATCTTGGTAATACCCGAGTAATAGGACTGCAGTCTTTCTTTAAAATCACAAGAGCAGGCGGTTGTTCTGTTAGAAGCTTGAGAATGCTCTTGCACAATTTTGTTCAGCTGCTAGTAGAAATCAGGCACCAATAACACTAAACACTTCAATAGGAAAAGAAGACGACAGATGCCGCTGCCGAGCAGAAATACGACGCAGTTCACCTTTACAACGACACAAATGGTAGATGTGAGCTACTTGCAATGCATATGATGACGTGCGATCTATGTTATGAATGCAGTTGCAGGTTTTCTAAAAACGCCAACTGTAGTCCAGTCAATCTTGGGGTAATACGCGCCAGTGAAGTTTGCTTTCTTATCCATCGCACGCTAGAGTTGTTTAATGGTCTCTGTTTCCGATAGGAAACATCAACCTCTTCCTGTGTTTCGCAAACTGCTTGTGAATGAATTTGCCGCTGCACCGCGGCACTTCTGTCCTCCTCAGCTCGCTCATCTTTCGTCAGCCAATAATGATGTGGGGAATATTATTCATTGTCCGATAAACGAAAAGGTTTTTAAAAATTTGAAAGAGTTTTATTTTAATCTAACAAACAAATAAATAATTGAATTTGGAAGAGAAACAGTGGGATTATTTCTGCCGAAAGAGTCCATGTTGTCTTAATCACTGTGCGGCCTTATTCGACTAATTGGTATAGTGTTAAGGAATTACGATCTTATCTTTTAGCAAACATGTAAGGCTAATTTATGGATTAATATGATTAGTTGAGCCCTAAGGGCACTGAGGCAACACCTAATTACCTACAAGAGCTCCGTGAACTCGGTGGTGGTAATTTTTACTCCGACAGTTAAACTAAAAGTGGATCTCAAGAAAAAGAAAACCTCCAGGCATGTGTTTTAAACCATTAATTCCGTCTCTCAGTAGCTCGAAAATGTAGATAATTACTGGCTCATTTTCGTCAGTAAAAGCTGTTAACGCTTTTTCCTTTTAAATTTGAACGTTCGAAATGCTATTGTGTGCACCTTTGAAACTTGGTTACCTTAATATTCTGGAATAGCGAAAAAATTAATCAATCGTCTTCACTAGAAAACTAATTGCCTTGGCCATGTCGCTCTCATTTTGCTGTCTTTTTCACGTCTTCTTCGTTCTTCGCCCTAATCCCAATTTTTGAGCTCGTTTGGCTTCTTTCTTAACGCTCCTAATTCCCTCGTTTCAATTTGTAAGCCTCGTTTTTTTCCGCTTTTCTGTTGGAATTTATCATTATTGGAATACTTTCGCATAATTCTATCAAAGGAAGTGATCTGAGCAAGTAGCACGGAGTTAAACTACAAAATTCACTAACCACTTGGTCGCAAAGGTATGTTACGCGTCCATAGCTGGCGGATAGGGATTAGACGCAGACTAAAGGCGATCTTGTGGGTCTCTGAGTGGTACTTGGATTTAGAAGATAACACTCTTTTCTGCTGCTGCAATCAATAGACAGAGAAGTATATGGGAGGCGGTGAGGAGTCGCGTCTAACAAATAACCTTCCCCGTAAACTCTGATAGAGATTGGCAAGCTATCCGTGAGTATATCTACCCTCATCCCCAATCTCACATCGAGAGCTCAGTAAGCTACATGTGTGTATCAAACGCTAAATGTAGCAAAAAAAGTAGACCTTATTCTTCTGGTCTCGGAAGGTCACGGATAAGGCAGCAGTGGGTAGGATGACTAAGGTGATGCTGCCGAAATGGCATAGGGGTAGGACGAGAATCTGCACCTACAGTGGGCGTTCACTTGCATCTGATTCCTCACTTGATCGCGCAGGAAAGAAGGATAAGCTACGACGTCGCGGAACTGGTCGAGACGAGAAGACACCAGTCATTCAACACCGTCTGCTATACCAAAGAAGAACAATTGCTTGAAATAAGCGATAACAGACGAGCCTGCGATGTTGGCGTTCTTATCAACAAAAGCTTGGTCATCCATTAATTCGAAGAACGAACGACCTGAATTGGACGCTTACAATTGGTGAGATCTGGATTAATACTGATTTTGACAATTTTTGTCGTCTATGCCCCGAAATCATGTTATGACGAAAATGAAGTCGAATCGTTCTCTATGAAGATAAAGATGTTCTACAGAAGAAAACATATGTTTTTTAATGTCATAATTAGAGATTTTAATGGTAAGATTGTACTCAGAGGAACGTCTGAGAAACGTCATATTGGGGACATGGATTAGAAAGTAAGAGACAAGGTCAGGGACTGTGTAACTTTATCATAAAGCCAAGACCATCGATGGCATCTCGAAATACCGGAATTCTGAGCACTGGACGTGAGAGTCTTTTAATGGAGAATATCACCTCCATCACATATAGTCTCGTTGATCGCCGACTGACTTAAGCGCGCGCCAGTAAATGTTCCATTTTTCATTGTTGCGTGCAAGAGTAGCCTAGTGGGTTTTGCTCGCGCTATGGACTCGTCGAGCACTATATCTTTCATCTGTTTTCGTGAAGAGCTCTGACCAACGGGCCAGCGGTTTTCCTATAGTAAGTTTAACATCCTGGAGAATCGGGTAACTAACGGTTCCTGTGCATCGGTTGTCCTTCATACACATTACGTGTCCGGCCCACCTTATCTTCGACTTTTTGGGGTACAGAACGGCATCTTTAACTTTTGATCGTTGACGCAAGTCGAGGCTTCGGAACCTTCCCCTTACTGTGCAAAACGGAATACTTCTAGCATCGTGCTTTCGATTGCACCTTCAATAACGCTGAGTGTTCTATTATCACGTTTGCGCAGCGACAAGGTTTCTGATGCATACTTTAGAGCAGGAAGTACTATTGAGTCGAAAAGGTGGGCACGGAGTGGGATGTTATTTGCTCTCTTCACTTCACTCTCGACGCTCTTGAAAGCTTTTCAAGGCGCTCCTTTCATTCTGCTCAAATCTGGAGCGAAGTCGTTCATCATGATTTTCCAACCTTGGTATAACTGGTGCATTAGGAGATATTCGATCCTTTGAGCGTATATGAGGCATAAGAAACTAATCCGTTCCTCATAAATATCGTTTTTGTGAGATTTAATCGAAGACCAGTCTTTCCATAGGCTTTATCAAAATTGGCAAGCATTAGTTCTGTTTGGCTAATATTTGGTGTTATGAGAACGATGTCATCAGCAAAGCGAAGACAGTGTAATAGCTGACCATCGACTTTTACTCCCATGTTGTCTCATTCCAATGTTCGCATGACGTTCCGGAGGGTGGCGGTGAATAATTTTGGCAAAGTGGTGCCACCTTGCTTAACCCCTCTTTTGACGTCGAGTATCGTTGTGGAATGGTGATATCTTGGTTACCAAATCTTTGTGCAGCTCACGAAGAATGTTTCCGCCTGCCCTAATGTGACGTTCGTCAGGCGTTCTTGTGAGTGCAGTCTTAGCGTTAAAATTCCCTACTATGAGACTGTGGGATGCACGGTGTTCTCTATATAGCCTTCACCTAGTCCATATAGAACCAGTCGCCTCTTTTTTTGCCACAGCTTGATGTAGAAGGCCGATTTGCACTGTTAGTTGTTCGAATGAATCGAGGTTTCTAGCCAAACTTATGTCGGCGAAAACACCAACGCCGCGGTCTGCTCTACTGTCGCATGTTCCGATAAAGAGTTGCTTTCCGGTGTCATATAATGTGTTGAATGCGTGGCATCGTCTCGTCTCTGCCAGTTCTGTGACGTCGTACCTTATCCTGTTTTCCGAATCGGCAAAATGCACCGGAAAAAACAACGCTTGTGCACCGCATCGGTTAACAGCAAGTGACCAACATTTTATACGATAGACCGTTGCCAAATACTGCACTAGGAAAGCTGAAAAGGTTGAACAACCTGTAATAGGAAACTCTGCCTCATCCATCAAATTCGCCATACCTCTTATCTACCGACTACCATCTCTTCTTGACAATTTGCTCCACGAGAAAAGTGCCGGAAACCAAGTCGATGCCCATAAAGCTCAAAATTACTTCGTCCCTTCCACATTTCGAACATCTTTCGCACCTGGTGTAATACCTAAGAGTGTGTCTTGTAGACCGACAAATGCTTAAATTTTAATGGTTTCTATTTCGATTGATAAAGCATATTCTGAGTAGAGAGTTGTCGCTGTAAAAATGCAAGTTCAAATGTGTCAATAATTTCTGGAGAACTTAATGCATATGAGTGAGAAAAAAGGTATTATCGTTGACAGGAACTAAAGCATTTTCAGTCTTCGGTATTTATTTCAAGCTTCAGTTGAAGAGACTCAATTTTCTGAGTCCTAATACATAAGCATCCCTTCACCCTTAATTCTTTTTCTGTTTCTCTCTCTTCAAGTTGGAAACAGTCGTGCTTTTAATCTTTTCCACACCGTATGTTAACTGACCAGGAAAAGAAGCTGTTCGTAGGACATAAAACACTATATCAGTGAACAAATTACGTCAAGAGCTACCCTTTTTTTGGATAAGGCCCAAGTTAAGGCCCCAGATGAAAACACGTTTCATTTTTACCTAAGCACAATGTATTAAACAAATATATTGCAGTAAATCGAAATCTAAATAAATCTAATGAAGATGGGAGGAGTTCTTGTTGTGTCAATTGTAACATAAGTACCATGAATAATCACACTCTATTCAACAAATGTCATAGTCGTTAAAACGTGACCCAGTCATGTAAAAGACGGCCCAATAATCACGGCACGTTCGCAAGCAGCCAGCGGCGCGTGTGATGGTTTTTGGCGTGGAAGAGCCGCGCGTGCGCGGAATCCACGTCCATTGAGGAAATAGCCATGTTCGCAACTATGTATAAAGCTTTTCTATCAGTTAAAACTCATTTGTTTTTATCTCATTTTCTGCTCAACTGACTTTGGCGCTGCTTAGTTTATCCACGTTTGCATTATGTGCTAGATTTCCGTAATCTCACTGAAACAATGCAAAGTTTTCCCTGATGATCCTGCTGTTGGATTCTTCTTTATGCATAAACATGTATGAAGTTTAATAACCCAAACTTAAGGCTTGTCATGTGACACTAATAAACGTCCTGCCCGGCTGGTTATAAGAAGAAAACCAACATATTTGGTGTATGAGACGGACACAGATTGCCTGCTTGGCACATTAGCATTCTACAACTGGACCACGAAGGTTCTTCAGCAAAATGGTAGTGGAGCTGCCAAATTTAAGGTAGTGATCTTACTAAGAAATCAGTACTCGAACTCTAAACACTACATGGCTAACAAGAAAAATCAATTTCTCGTCATGATAACGACTGGGTAAAGGTATTGGTTTAGTGTTAACTTTACGCAAGATTGTTGCAAATCCTTGCTGTGGCTACCGTTTCGGCGTGTTGAACCTTTTTCATAGATGATTCAAGTCGTGTGTCCATAACAGTTGCTTCTTGCGATCTGGATTTTTATAGTTTTCGCATTGAGTCGAATGAAGACGGATAAACCGTCGAAGCTTTAGCTACAACAAGAATTTGTCGTAACCTTATATAATCTTTTAACATGCCACGAAATCGCTTATCCGTCTAGAGATGTAATAAAAGCGGGAGCTGAAAATACTTCTCCTTCTTTGACCACTTTCATATCAAAGGATGGAATCATATGCAGTAGCCTTAAAAAATTATCGTACATAGTATTGTATACCATCTTTAAGGAATCCATCTCAATCATCATTGTTTCAAATGAGTTATTTCATGTAAACTAGGAGCGGGAATGAGAGCCATTATTTCGCTCTCTTATCAAACTTGAGTGCCACGAATTATGTGCATGAAATACATAATTGGTGAAGTATTATTGCCCTTTATTTTGTAGCTACTGTAGCTTGAAAATAGTAACGGTGCCAGAAATAAAATTGGTTAGGAATTACCTGACTTTCATTTTCGCTTCCACTCCGTCCGCATACCCTTTTTCTTTGCTGTCGATTCTATTCATCTCATCGCTCAAATGACGTTTCCGAACAAGTCCATCTGATTGATCGATAAAGATGAACCATGAAAACTCAGTGGCCCGCTGAAGAAATACTGAAGATGATTTATAGGACAGATATAAGGCGAACACAGCAGACCGTTGCTGAAGACGTCTACGCACGATTGTCAGTTCTTAGTGAAATTGTTTAATAGTTCCCAGGATCGAAATTGTTTAAGTTATTCAATTCGTTTTGTCCCACTTCGGGAGATGTTGGTCTGCAGATAAAACACAAAATAAGGAACATTTCGCTCTTCTTGTGATCATCTTAAATTTAATGACTGGGGTGTTTGCGAAAAGAACCACTGGATGTATAACGAGAATTCACGACGAATCAGTGGTATAGAACTTGCAGAACTTTAAATATTAAGACCATTTTACATATGAGCGAAGGCTGTAAGGTGTTTATAGAACAGGTTATAGAGAGGAGTAGGTCTCGTTCCTTTCCAAGTGGCATGCAAAAGTTTCCAGCATTTCTTGTGAAATAACCATAAACCACTTACATAGTGAATCACCAGTTGTGTGAAGTATTAGAATTACCAAAATTAACGTCGAATCTAAATTTGCTTCACCATTTTTCTTATATGTTTAGCAAGAATCCGCTCATTTAATGAACTTTCTTCCCGTTTAATTGGCTGGTTGTTGGCAAATTTTAGTAGCATGTGAAAAGAGAGCAATTCCGAGCAAACCACTTCTGTGGTTTCAAGCTCGGTTTACATTGCGCGAATGCCTCGAAACATTAACGAGATACGGAGCCGAGAAAGCGTTAACGAACTTGTGCTGGTTTCAAGAATTTCATCCTGTCGAAATTGTCTTCTAAACTTAGGTTATTTATGGTCGTCATTCTGCTACTGACGAGGATGATTGATGATGGGCTCCTTGTAATCAAATAGGCGTAAGTTTGCATGAGGTTTTGTACTCGAAGTAGGCATCTCAACCGTTTTGGAGTGTGAATATTGGCATATCGAACAAGGTTGACAAAAGAATTCCACACGAATTGAGCGGCAATCAAGGATTTCGCCGTTTTGAGGCATCTGCAGCACTTTTTCTACCATAACTAGTCGTTTACATTCTGTTTATAGCCGACGACGACAAAATGATCCTCCACTAAAAGCGGCGAGGATTGGCTCAGTGGTTAGGTCTTGATGACGCTTCATGGCAGTTCCCAAAGCCTAAATTGCCTCAATAGGCAGTATGCTGACGGTTTACTTGCTTCCTGTTTATTTATTCCATCACTGCTTCGTGAATCCTGTTGGAAATGTTACGGCAGAGAACTACGCGGAAGATGTGGAAATCTACGAAAAATTCGGCGACTGTGCAACTCACTGGTCAACAGAAGTTGACCGACGCTCTCTACAATAACGCGCGTCGACCGGTCGTGCGATTGAAGAAGTCGAGTGCATGGCGTATCCCTCAGGAATTGGTCAAAGCCAAGAGCTTTATCCTCTATCCTTGATCGGCATGTAAAACCTTAATTTTGTGAAGAATATTGAGCTGGAGAAAGTTGTTTTCATTGCACGTTTTAGCAATTAGAGAGGCTGCATTTAAATATAGACGTGTCACAGCTGGGTTTTGATAAAATAAGGACTTTGGTCTTCTTTGCGCCCGACAACAATCAATCATTTCAGATCATAGGTAAAACGAAATTGGCACAGCTCGAATTCTACAACTTGGAGCCCAGATAGATCTGCTGCAGAAATTGATCGAAATACGCCTTTAGTAGATAAGAAATAAATTAGTTCATGATCGATAAGGTCTGGCACTTCTTTTCTGTCTTGTTCTCTTTCGTATCAATTTCAATTTAATACAGTGGAATTCAACCTCTGATTATTTGGAATATAGATTTCTCTGCTTCGCTTTTCTCACTGGTACTGGTCATTTTACCCTGATGAAAATTGCAAATTAACACCACCTTTTTTCGGTGGTCCATGATGTCCTCAACATGACTTTGGTCATTTTCCTGTCACTTATGACCCCACTGGTGGCTTCGTAGCACAAGGTGGTCGATTACACTCTAACAGATTCGTACGTATCAGTGAATAGTTTTTATTTAAACGAATTTATGAGTATTTATCAGCCCACGCTGAAGTTTACTACTTTGGGTAGAAAATGTTAGATTCTCTAGATGTTTGCAAAACGGTACCATTGCTACCACTTTCTTCCCCAGTACGATGAAATTAGGCGAAAAGCGATTAAATAAGAGAGATTGTGAGGGAATTTAGATCTGATAGTGCTCCTAAATGCTCCTAATATCAGCAGGTACCACCCTCGGGTCGAAATTCTTGAATTCTCTCACTCTCTCACTTGTTCTTCACCAGTTCGCTCAACAAGATTCATACCCTGGAAGATCATCAAGATATTTTTGTCGTCGCCTTTTTCATTTCGAAACGGTGAATTCTAAATTGCAGGCATTCCTTAACTTCGGATTGAGTAGTTATTTATGGTTTATAGTTATATTTATTTATTTAATTTTGCTCTTTATCTTGCTATTTTTGCCGCCGTGGCTACAAGTTTTCGAGGATTTGATGGATTTCGTTAGGCAGATGTTGCGAGAGCGCAATGACTACAAGAACACAATTATTTACTTGTTCATACCACGTTGACCTAATTGAGGGCATAAACCCAGGTGATGCCCTTCAGTTTACAACAGTTTGTGAGCTCTTGGTGTGTTATTAATTGGAACGGGTTTTGCATAGTCGATTTCGTAACAACAAACTAAAACAACAAAACACTTTTCGAGAAGCCGTATATCTTGAAATTATCGTGCAGATTTTCATCTCTTTGTTTGTTCTGCTGAAGCGTTTGACCTAGGAGGTAGCGTATTAATGTACCCGTCCATGCTCTGAAGAAGGCCGTTCTGCTGAAACGTCGGATACGATTGTGTTATATGTGTGTTATTGTATGGGAGTAAACGTATGCTGCTTAACAAATTC